ACTCTCAACCACTGCGCCACCAGGGAAGCCCTCGAGCTGTAACATTTTAAAGATTTTTTTTAAACCTAATACCTGTTTCAACATAAAAGATAATTAAAATGTTTGTTATATTGGATGACTGTAACACAAAATAAAACATCGTCTTTTTTTTTTAATTCAGAAATTTCACAGGAGATGACTGAAAGAATCAAGTCCTTGAGGACAGAAGGGTGAGATCCAGAGTACAACTGGTGGAATTCACTGATAGAAGGACACTACTTCAATTTAAACAAGAAAGATGCAAGAGAAAATGAGTGCAGATTTGACCATCTGAAGTTGAGGCATTCCTACAGATGGTTTCTATTTTCTCAAGTATGAAGCAAGGTTACCAGCTGAAAATGGGGAGATGTACGAGGAAGGGATGTGAGCAATTTGAGAAGTGAAGATATGAATGGTTAATCCAGAGAATGAAGAGCTTTGTCAGCCAGTGTCGAGTGCTCCTGTGAGGTCTGAGGTCATGAATTAAAACCAGTTGTTGTATGATTTTTCTCCAGCAATCTTTGCTACTTGGGCACAAGCAGTGAGAAAGTTTGTTCCAGCAAGGTTCAGTCCCAGCAAGGTTGAGGCTCTTCCAAGCAAGAAAGATAGAGACATTGGAGTAAGAGAGTTGAAAATATTTGCAAAAGAGTGATTATATGGATTGATCAGGGAATCTACTTCAGTTGAGTTGGAATGATTATATGATGGCAGGAGCAGGATAATAGGTTTTTCTTTAAAGTGTTGGGGTTAATGAATTGGAGGTCAGTGAGAATACGATAAATGAGCTGAGGAAGAGGCTAGTGATTGACAATTGGGATGCTTGAATTTGAGATTTAGAAGGTAAAACAGCTATTGAAGACAGGGTTCAGAGTCTTACCACTGGAGTGGATGGGATGGAATAGAGGAACAAATTATTGGAGATGAAGAGGTCAAAGACCTAAGAGGCCCAATGTCAGTGTTACATGGGCCGTCTGTTAGAATGTTGAATTCACACAGAACGTAGACAAAAGGGATGGTGAGGAAAACTTAGAGCATGGAGCAGTGGTCTAATTTCTGAGGGAAATTTCTCAACACTTGGACAAGTGTTGAGAAATTATAGCAGTAAAGAGGATGAGGTGTGGATGATATGAACTTCAAATGTTTTTGAAGGAGGAAAGAGGAGAAATCGTTTGGAAGTGGTAACCAGGAACAAAGAGGCCACCCAAACTCTGTAGCCCAACCTCTCGGCCTTAAGGTACATAAGAATATGAAAAAAAAAAAAAAACCCTCTACTTCGGAGCTCTACAGCAGAGTTAAAAGTAAAATTACCTTCATCACTAAAAATAGTGGTGCTGGGTATATACCTGGATGCATCTAGGATAATTCCAAGTCTGAATTTGATCATTCCTGGCTTTGTGGATGATGTAGAAAGTCAATCTCACTGTCTGATAGCTACATCAACCATGTCTCCTGAGAAATGTAGAATCTGCAAGTAACCTCCTTTTGATAGTGTCCAGGGATAAGAAAAGGAGAGAGAATTAATGAGAGGGAATGAAAATGTTTTTACTCAGGGAACATTGATTTCAGGCATCTAGAATGCAGTTCTTTGTGAATTATGTTATCCTTAATGTTGGCCTGTAGTGTACAGTACTGTGTATATTTAAAATAACTTTCAGAAGACATACAGATGGCCAACACACACTGAAAAGGTGCTCAACATCACTAATCATTAGGGAAATGCAAATCGAAACCACAGCAAGATACCATCTCACACCTGTCAAAAGGGCTATCATCAAAAAGACAAGTATTGGCAAGGATGTGGAGAAAAGGGAATTCTCGTGCACTATTTATGAAAATAAATTGGTACAGCCACTATGGAAAACAGTATGAAGTTTTCACAAAAAATTAAAAATAGGAGTATCATATGATCTAGCAATTCCACTTCTAGGTATTTATATGAAGAAAACAAAAATACTAATTCAAAAAGATATATGTACCCCTATGTTTATTGCAGCATCATTTACAACATCGAAGATATGGAAGCAAACTAGGTGAATGGATAAAGAAAATGTGATATACATTGATAGACACACACACACACACACACACACACACACACACACACTGGAATATTACTCAGCCATAAAAAAAAAAATGAAATCTTGCCATTTGCAGCAACATGGATGTACCTGGGGGGTATTAGGCTAAGTGAAATAAGTCAGACAGAGAAAAATACCGTATGATTTCACTTATACGTGGAATCTGAAAAACAAAACAAATGGACAAACAAAACAGAAACAGACTCTCAGATACAGTGAACAAACTGGTGGTTGCCATAGGGGAAGGGGATTATGAGGTACAAACTTCCAATTATAAGATAAATAAGTCATGGGAGGGCTTCCCTGGTGGCGCAGTGGTTGAGAGTCTGTATGCCGTTGCAGGGGACACGGGTTCGTGCCCCGGTCCGGGAACATCCCACATGCCGTGGAGCGGCTGAGCCCGTGAGCCATGGCCGCTGAGCCTGCGCGTGCTCCGCAACGGGAGAAGCCACAACAGTGAGAGGCCCGCGTACCGCAAAAAAAAAAAAAAAAAAAAAAAGATAAATAAATCATGGGGATGTAATGTACACATAAGGGAATGGTCAAAAATATTTTAACTTTGTATGGTGATCATTTCATAAAGCATAAAAATATAGAATCACTGTTGCACACTTGAAACTAATATTGTATTGATATGTTTATTATAACTCAATCAGAAATAAAAATAAAATATAACAACTTTCAGACTCAACAGGTGATTTTTTTTTGCTTGTGGTAAAAGGTAGGATTAAACTGCCTGGAAAATTTCTGGTACAATGGCCCTATGAAAAAAGCAGAGTTCCAGTGCAGCACCCTCAGATGTCCCTCCAGGTGGCTCTGTGATTCCAGCATTGTACTCTACTGGCATCAAATTTACGTAGATTATTATTTTCAAAGTGTCAGTGATGCCTCCTCCTTCTCTGAAGATCCACTTCAGGAACCTAGTTGCCCAGGTATCCTCAGACCATAGGGCAGCTATCAGAGGCTGGAGATCCTTCTATGTACTCCACCCTCATCAGATCAAATACAAAGCCCTGGTAACTCTGACCCTTTTCAGTTAGAGCGGCAAAACCTACCTCTTAAAAACTGTTAGTACAGTCAAGTCAACCCCTTCAACTAGCAAGGTAACGATTTAACAGGATAACTTGCTAATTCAAATAGGATAGAATAAACCCGTTAACTGTGGCCTTGCAGATATTCTGCTCAGGACTTTTGCCTTGCGTGTAATTTGAGACTATACTGGAAGAAATAACTGAACTGTGCCAGGCACACTGCCTGGGACCATCCCACACTCACTGACAACATTTATGGGGTTACCAGTCACTGCGATATTATGGTCGTTCACCTGTCAGCTCAGTTCACCGACTGAAGATGAAACCCTTGCCTCTGTACCTAGTGAAGCTGGGGGTGGATAGGTAATGGTTAAGGTAACTCTTACACAGCAACCTAAAGACCTACGAAACAACTGGCTAATTAAAATACAATTTTTATTTTGCATTTCTGGTCTGAATACTATTGCTCAAATATATGTAAATACTGATATTTTTAGAAAATAATTAGTAAAATTGCCTCTAGGAAAATAGACTATCGTTAAGAAATGTCTCCTCAATTTCTGAAAATAAAATGGCTTAATTCATAGGAAACATTTTTAGTATTTCCAGTAAATTTACTGGAACTTAAACAACCATGCAGAAATCAGAAAAAAAAAAAACTTTTTTTTTTCAACCATGCAGAAAAAAAAACTTTTTTTTTTAAGTAGCTTATAAAACATAGTTTGGAGGTCAGAATCTGGGGAAGTGATTAAGACCCTAAATCCAAGGTCAGCTTCTTTCTTTTCTTGGAAGAAAATGTCTTGAAACAGATATAAATTCGAAAGGTATTTAAACGTTTGTCATTAATGGTATTTGTTTTCAGAAAGACATTTTTATTGTAAAATTTCTGAGACTCCACCAAGTTTTAACTCGGATCCGTAATAGGGGTTTGATTAGGGTTTCCGGCCTAATTATTAGTCACTAGGCTTCCCCTAAGATTAAAATCTAGAATGCACCTGTCTCAGTTGTAAGTTATCCATTAAGGAATTCCTAAATCATTTCATTTCGTTGTATTATGAAGCATTAGGTTTAAGTTACGGGTAACAACATACTTACGGGTGGAGGGATCCAACCCAGAGACGGCTCTGAACAAAATGCAATTGAGCCCCAAATAACTAAATGAAATAATTTAGAAAGGCCCCAACCTTCTTTAGGGTAAGAGGCAAGTGCAATATTTGGCAATACAATTTCGTCACAAATTCAAGGGTAGTTCAAAGTGCCCCGTAGTCAAGGTCTGGCTTTTTCCGAATTTCGGGAACAAAAGAAGCGTTCGCAAGCAGAGACGGAGATTTAACTGCCCGCTTTCCCCTTGCCTCCCCCAAGTAAATCAAGTCGAGGAAGATGAGCGTCCACATGCACGCCTCGCTCCTTTTCTTTCCCTTCAAGGGCTAGCGTTTGGGGAGGAAAGGCTGCGGCTATTCTTCGGTGAACCAGTGTCCCGGGATTGAGAAAGGCCCAGACCCGGGTCCTCGCAGCTGCCGTGAAATCTGGCCCATTCGCCGGCGACCGACCCCGGAGAGAAAAGCTGCTTCGCCAGAGGGGTAGGGAGAGGAAACGGCGCACAAAAAGCAGTACGACTTGCCTCTTATCGCCATCCTAAGAGGAGGGATGGAGAAAAGGGAAACAGAAAGGAGCCGCACAACGGAGCTCCCGCCCAAGCGGCTTTTAAACTGCGTTTCCACCACCTCTAACAGAGCGCCGCGGCTAATGGAACCCGCGCGAGGCGTCCCGCCAATCACCGCCGCGCTTCCTGCGGCCGCGGGCCAATGGCGGCGCCCGTTCTTGGGGCGTGGGCGAAGAGGCTGCTCTCCCTTGGCTGTGGTGTGTGCGCTGGGGTTGGTGCGGACTCCTGGCTTGGTTGCACTGGGCCCCGCTTGTTTTGCAGGGGCTTTTGTGTCCGGCGTTGGCTTGGCTTTGTGTGCGCGAGTTTCCGCTGTGCTCCGTGGCGCAAGTCCTGGCCGAGAGCTGTAAGACTCGGAGGCGGTAGCGCGGCCCCCCACCCCCCCGGGCGAGGAGCGAGCGCGCCGGCGTGAGCGGCGGGTGCAACGGCTGCGGGGAAGGGGATTCGCCGCCGCCGAGATGCCGGAGTTCCTGGAAGACCCCTCGGTCCTGACGAAAGAGAAGTTGAAGAGTGAGTTGGTCGCCAACAATGTGACGCTCCCGGCCGGGGAGCAGCGCAAAGATGTGTACGTGCAGCTCTACCTGCAGCACCTCACGGCGCGCAACCGGCCGCCGCTCGCCGCCGGCGCCAACAGCAAGGGGCCCCCGGACTTTTCCAGCGACGAAGAGCGCGAACCTACCCCGGTCCTGGGCTCCGGGGCCGCCGCCGCGGGCCGCAGCCGCGCCGCCGTCGGCAGGGTAAGGACACAAGGCCGGGGCCACAAAGGCAGGCGTTTAGCGGTGGGCGCCCCCCCCGCTCCTCGCGCGCGCAGCCCTCCCTCGGGCCTCCTCGGCGGCGGGGCTGTCCCCCCACCCGCCCGGGGGGCTGGCCTCTGGGTCTGCGGACGCCGGGCTCTGCCCCTTCGCCGCGGGCTCTCGGGCTCTGAGAGGGAAGGGCGCCGGAGAGGAGATCCCCGAAGTTAGGGCCGCGGGGCGCGCGTCTTAGCCGCAGTGTGTCGGGGGGTGTGAAGTTGGCGTTTGCTCTCGGGTTGCGCGCGGGTGATGGGCGCGCGCAGGCAGCTCTGTGTCCCTGGATGCCTGGCCGCTGGGAGTGGACAACTGAACAGGGACTTCCCTGCCCTTTTCGAAAGCCCTAAGGAGGGTCAGTTCGAAACGGCTACAGGTTACGTTTGAGCGTTTTCCCGCTTTATTAACAGAAATGACTAGAAACCGGGTCTCAGAGCGCTCCCTGGAGGGCAATTTGTGACATACTGATACCTAACCAAAATTTGAAATAAAGAAATTCCCGCCTTTTTATGTTTTTTGCATATGGAGGGCTTTTTGAACGGTTTATGTTTTTCTTGTTTGTGTTACTCCTTTCCGGCAGCAGGCCGTCTTTTGGCGGGGCAGCGTTACTCTAAATTAAACGAGCATTTTAAAATACACCTTTGAGCGGTTATCATAGACGCTCAAATATTTAAAAATTCTAGTTACTTAGCGCTTGGGTTTTAGGGGTTTTGGGGGTTGTTTTTCCTTTTGGTGTATTTGCATGAAAAAAGGAGAAGCTTCGGAATCAGGAGAAATGTTTATTTCATGACATTCTGCTCTGTCAGTGTTACAATTTGGGGTATCTAATCCCTGGTAAACTCAGATTGGCTCCAGCAAATGCATATTTCGTTTGAGAATAGTTGGGTTTTGTTCTCTAGGGTTTTATGTGCTATTAGTATGAATCAGCCTGGTTATCAGGCTACAAATCATAATAGAATGTAGTTAAAACTAGTGACTGGTGTAAAGTACAATGCTTTGTAAAACATTGAAAGTGGAGTTTAGAGTTGTACTGATTACTAGTATAACTCAAAATGACTGCTTCTTTCAAAGTTATCTTAACTTTAGTTTTAAAAAAATTATCCAGTGTATTTTCTGGACTACCCAGATGGAAATGAAGGAAAGATATAATAGACACATGTAGATTTAATTAAATCTTAGCCTGGGCTTTAGAGAAATTGAAAACCTTATGTCTTAAATCGACGCATGGCACATAGTAGTGCCAAATAAATATTTGTTTGATAAGTAAAAGATAAATCGCACCTTCTTGTTTCTCATGGCTTGTTTTTGAATTTGAAGAAAGCCACTGTACTCCATAAGAAGAAATTTGTTTTTGAAATAAAGTATATCCCTTACCTGTTTCTCCCCAACCCCTCTGAAAATGAAAGTAATATTCAAACTATTAGTAAAAATTTGGTTGAAAATGAAATATTTTCCATTTAAATCAGCACACTTTTTTTTTTTAAGTCTTCTATAGAACCTTATGTTGGTCTCCTGTGCAGATGTATCATTCTTGAGCTGTGGAAGTATTTGGTTGTATGTTTATGATAGGATTATTCATTCTTATTTTGATGATGATTCGCTGTCGACAGAAACAGCTGTCTCGGTTTTGATGTTTTTCCTTCAACTTTTTCAAAGAGGGTACGTCCCGATCTACACTGTGTTCTTTGGGGTGTAAGAAGACCTGAATGTAAAATTTTTTAATTTCAGTTCAATTATCCAACATTTTTGAGTTCCTATCATGCGCTCTTAACTGCAGGAGTTTGATTTCTGCAGACCTGCCAACCACCATAGTTAATTTTTTAAGAGAACCTCCTATGTCCAGTAGCATGTATCTCAATGTTTGAATCCATATAGATATCAACTGTGTCAAAGAGCTTTAAGTTTTTTCTACCTTGTGTATTTAAAACTCAAAAATGTGTACCCTGGGCTGGGTGCAGTGGTGTCAACAACTTGAAAAAGCTAATAGTGGTAGTTGGTCACTAACATCATTTTCCTCTTTAAAGCACATTAAGTAAAAATGAGTCCTAATTTAACTAAGGAGTCTGATAAATTTTTTTCTCAGGCATAGGAAAAAATATATTGAATTTATAAGAAGACAGCCTTAGACCATTTATAATAATTGGTATATAAAATTATTCTCCTTTTATATGTACAGTGTTTTATGTTCTAGTCATTGTTAGCCCCATGTGTAATAACAATATAGAGTCACATTTCTTAAAGAATATTTATGATCTAGGAGAAAGCCAAATTATGTTTGACAGTTTCAGATAAGGCAGATTTTTTTAAATGGTGAATTTTTAACATTTTAAAACAAACATTAACATGGATTTGGCCAAGGACATAGCATATACCTTCAATTTAAACATGGGTTTATGAAGAGTATTTTTAAATAAAGGAGAAATTGTTTCATTTCAGCCATTGCCATGGTCAGGTACACTTGGTGTGATAGGACAAAATATTTGCACGTTCAAAATTTGGTTTTAGTTTTTAGTTTTCTTATTTCTATGCTTTTTATGTATATCTTGATGGTAACCAGTATTTTCCAGTGATGAAATTATCAGCATTGTCAACACAAAAATAAACATTTACATACAGAGTTGACGGTCTGCCTTTTAGTTCAGGGTGCAAAGCAGTGTAGCTGTTTGGAATCCATTGGAGCATAGCATTCTTGAATGGTCTGATCTGATGAATTACGAATTCTTAACAGGAAATATTTAATGACATGGAACAGAACAGTAAAGAGTATGTTAGGTAGTAAAAGTTAAATCATAAATTGACCACTATATTCTACAGTAAGGTGTTAAGTATACAGACTTCTGAATCAGAATTATAGATTCAAATTCCAGTTCTGCCCTTATTCAGATGACCTCGAACAAAAAGCATTGCCTATCAGATGCTCAGTTTTCATCTTAAATAGGAATAATCTAATAGCAATTTAGAGGATTACTTGAGGTTGCATTTGTGAAGATGTCTAGTGCTCAGCAACTACAGCACATGTTAGCTATTACAATATGTGATTTCTGAATTTTGTTGTCTTTATTTAATGCCAGAGCAATACAGTGCTACCATAATGTATTCAGAAGTGGATGAGGTAAGTTTGTGAAAGTGATGTATACGTAAAGTCTGCTCAAATGTTACCATATAACTGGGTATGCAGATTGCCTGAGTTACCTGAACAACTTTGGACTTGTTTCCTCTCTTGTAAAATGGGGATATTAGTATCTATTGCATAGGATTTTTAGGATTCAATAAGTTAATACATATAAGGCACTTAGAACACAATTTGGTATATAAATGCTCAATAGAATCTGTTCTGTAGTAGTAATTAGTTCAGCATCTTTGCTACTATTGGTAGAGATTTAAATAAGAGTGGTTCATAGGTGATACCACAGAACTTTTGGATTTTAAAGTTGAAAAAGAAATTAGAGATCATCTGGTAGTTGGGAAGAAACTGGAGAACAGTGCCTGGCACGTAGCTGGTACTTGGTATTTTGACCGAAGGAAACTAAGAGATTACATGATTTGCTTAAAGGAACAAAGCTCTCTGGAGGCAGAAATCATTACAACTAATGGCTCCTTCTTCCTGGTTGAAACTGCTGGCTTGATAAATATGTATACTCCCAATTTTTATTCTTATTAAATTTGATATTTCATAGAATGGCATTACTTTTCTGGAGCTTTTCTCTGTAAAAATAAAACTCAGGTGGCCCGTTATGAGCACCTGCTCTATTTGACTTACCTTATGCCAGTTTATTGGCTTTTACTTAAAATTTCCTTGTACAGCTGTAGAGTTTCAATATGTTTTAAGAAAATGTGAGGGAGTTGGTTTCCTGCTTGGATATGCTAAGTCTTTGTTTTTTCTTAATAAGAAATTGGTTTTTTAAAATAAGTGGCTAATTTCCCCCTCACCAGATGGCACTTTGATTCATTCATTCAGTAAAACATGTATCAGGTACCTATTCCTGTGTCAGGCACTCTTTTTAATTTTAGCTGCTTGGGATACAATATGACAGTGCTCCTGCTTTGTGTTACCCTCTTAAATGCTACATCTAAAATCACCTGAGCTGCACATCAAAATACAGATTGTCAGGCCCAATATTAGGACTCAGAATGGGGTAAGACTTTTTAAAATAGGGGCAACTTTTCCTGAAGTTTTGAGGTTTTGGTAACAAACCAGACTTAAGGACTATTGTTCAAGGAGTTTACCATCTGGAGAAGGTAAAACATATGTACAGATAACTAATAAAAAGCAGAATGTAGTTAGTGCCAAAAACAGATTATTTCTTGAAAACCTCACACTGCTTCAGGAAGTTGAAATTCCTGGATGTTTGGTTATAGGAGTAGGATTTGAACATTCTTATGGTTAGAGGGATTTTTTTCTACAAGTAATCCGTACCTGGCTGCTTTTTTTTGTTTGTTTAAAGTATTTTATGTTACACAATGGGGTTTTTCTTCCCAACCTGTCCACACTTTTGGAATATTCAAGTAGGTCACAGGATTCGGTCTTTTTGATTTAAAAAAAAAAAGTCTTCTCTAAAGAATTCAAGGATTTGATATATAGAACTCTTAGACTCTAGGCAGCTATTTTGACATCAAGGTGTGAGTTGCTTAAGATTTGAGCTTAATGATCCTAGATTAGTACAATATTAAAGCCTTCTGAAAGTACCCTTGGTAACTTTTCACAGACATTTTAAAAATTGTATTGAAGATTTCTCATGAGTTGACATCATTGTTCTTATTATGTTCTTTATATGAAGTATTTCACATTTTTATTTGGTTGAAAAACAAATTCTAATACATGACCAAATAATGCCTGATTTTTCTTTCCCCCTCAGCATCACTGGCAAGTAAACAGCCCATAGAGCTTTATGATTTTTGCTATTTTGCATAAAATATTTCTAGGACTCTTCTGCCTTAAACAGTAATTTGGGCCTACATTGACTTTGATGTTTGTGGCCATTATTTAAACAGCCGTTTATATTGTCCTCTGATGGTTACTGGGATTACTGAGACATTTGTAAAGCTATTTGCCACAACCCTAAAAGCTAACCATACTTTTGCTCCCTTACCCTGTTTAACCTTGGAAGTTTATATCGTTTTTCCAATAAAGAATGCCATTGCTTAAATTATTTTTAAAAACTCCCTTTAAAATTTTTCTCAACGCTTGTTCCACGCTTTTCAGCTAGTCTTAGTGAAATGGTCATATAGACTTATGTGTGACAACAAAGCCATGTCAGAGGTGATATGTAGCCATAGAGTCTGACTTCATGAGTCAAAAACTGGCTTTTAAAGTCACTGTATTACAAGAAGAATATTCATTTGGGCTTCTTAAATTTTGATATGCTTGTTTAAAAGAAATCATTTTTATATATAACATGTATTAACCTTTATGGTAAAATCCTAAACTTTCCTGGATTAATTTAAACTTTCAAGGATTATAGAAAAACCAGTAGTAAATTGTATTTGCAGTTATCTGGATGAAAATGTTTAGACTTAGACTTTTTGCTCTTTTGAATTTTTGATGCCATTACCTTTTTAGATAGTTAACCAAAATTGACTATTTTAACAGTAATATCTAAAATTTGAGTTACTTACTTGGCTTATTAGGTTTGTATAATTACAGCTGAACTTAGAAAATACTTTTGAATAATAAGTTGCTTTTAATTTAATCAAATTGCTAAACTCTACTATAAGTCAACTTGAAGGTAAATTTGCATGTTTATTATATGCAGTGTTATTTATATAGTGTCAATAAATGAACATTTTAAAATTCATGTGGAAATGATAACTGGACTTCGTTTACAGAAAGCCACAAAGAAAACAGATAAACCCAGACTAGAAGATAAAGATGATCTAGATGTAACCGACCTCTCTAATGAAGACCTTCTGGATCAGCTTGTGAAATACGGAGTGAACCCTGGTCCTATTGTGGGTAAGCTGATAAAATTTCAAATATCTTTTTATGAAGCAGTACCCCACACTGTTTTCCCCTCTTGTCTAGCAGGTAGAGTTTTCGTTCTAAGGACTAGTCTGTCGTTAATCATTTATATGACCAGGACCTTAGTTTCCCTAACTATATAAATGACAGAAATAAAATGAGAGAATTGAACTAATTAATCCCCAAGATTACCTCTGTTGAGATTGTTTCGTATTGTGCCCATTGTCATACTACTTGATGAGACATATGGGTCTTATATGACAATTGAGGAAAATCTGAGGTAACATAGCTGGCCAGATTAATCCAAATCGTTAAGTTAGTGACAGACTTGTTAAAAGAACTCAAGTTATTCAGTTCCCAGCGTAGTACCCACTTTCAGTTATCATTAAAAGTACCTATTAAAAAGTCTTGTCTTGATTGGAATTCAAGAACAAACTGAAAACTAAAGAACAAACCAAAAAGAGAAAACTTAAAAGTAAATACCCTGGATTTTCATCATTTGGTTACTGTTAAGTCAGTGAGTTTGCAAGCCTGATTGTGCCTTTATTTTGGAGGGTCTTGGCAATAACCTCAAGATGAGAAAGTTCTATTTGATCTTCTAAGTTGTGTAAAAAAAAAATTTTTTTTTTAAATTGACTGCATCAGGTCTTAGTTGCAGCACGTGGGATCTTCGTTGTGGCATACGGTCTTTCGTTGCAGCACATGGGCTTCTCTCTAGTTCTGGCACCTGGGCTTAGTTGCCCCACAGCGCGTGGGATCTTACTTCCCTGCTCAGGGATTGAACCCACGTCCCCTGCATTGGAAGGCGGATGCTTAACCACTGGACCACCAAGGAAGTCCCTGTAAATTTTTGAATACTGTAGATTTGGGGGTTGTTTTTTACCTATAGGTGTAGTTGCAAATAAGAATTTAGAATATTGTATTTCTTTTGTCTTATTTAATGTACGGCTTCCCAAGAGATGATAATAAGCCTATTAGTATAATTAACAACAGACATTTGATACCCTTTTTATATTTTTCATTTAAAATTACAAAAGGGAGGTGCTGAAGACTGTGTATTGTGTTAACATACATTAAATTACATGCTGATATACCAGTTGTTTATTTTTTCCCCAGCTTTATTAAGGTATAATTGACAAACAAACGTTTTACGTTTAAGGTGTACAACTTGCTGTTTTAATATACACGTACATTGTGAAATGATCACCATAATCAAGCTAATTAACATATCCATCACTTCAGAGTTTTCTTTTATGCATGTATGTGTGGTGAGAGCACTTAAGATCTACCTTCCTAGCAAATTTCAAGGATGTAACAGTGTTGTTAACTGTAGCCCAAGCTATACTTAGATTTCTAGAACTTACTCATCTTGTGTAACTGAAATTTTAAGGCCAGCGTCTCCTTATTTCCCCCTCCCCAGCTGTTCATCTTAAGACTACTTATCTGTAACATTCTGAGATACGTATTGTTTCTAAAAAATATATGTTTATCATTTTATTCATCTTATAGAAATCAGGGAAAGACATATAGCTAGTGTAAAACAGAAAGTAAAAGCTATTTTTAGTTTTAAATTGTCATTGATGTTGAAATATGTTACTAAATTATTTATCAATTTTACTTTGCTATCTAATTGGCAAATCATTTCTCTTTGTAACACACATTTTCCGTAAAAGGTCATTTTTACTGCAGCAGTATATTGAAATATGATTTAACATCTTAAATTTACTCAGTGCTAGGTGTCAGATATACTCAGTTTTTAAAAATGTGACTTTTAGGACTTTTCCCATAACTAAATGGCCTTTATAGGCATATTAGTCTCTTAGAGTTGTGGGATTTTAATCACAATAATTCAGAGTAGTACACTCTGTTTATAAACATGATTTTTCTACAAAGGCAAGTACTATTACTTAGTACTAGAGAAATTACACAAAGTTCAAAACTTTTCAGTCAGAGATACTCAGTCATACATGGCTCTTCAATAGGTTATCCATAGTAAGACTGAAATCAATCTATTATGTATTTCATTCTACCAAAAAAAACAAAAACAGAAAACCATTGTTATAATCATTTATTAACATCCCAGAAAAACACCTATTTTAGAAAAGAATCCATTATGTAGTATTTTTAAGCATTTAAGTTTAGAAAAGGAAACAGTGAAAAGTAACACTTTAATGTTTCTAAAGCTAATGTCTGAGCTGGATCTTAAATAAGACAATACAAGTTATAAAGCAAATTCTGCCTTAATACAGGAACAACCAGGAAGCTATATGAGAAAAAGCTGTTGAAACTGAGGGAACAAGGAACAGAATCTAGATCTTCTACTCCTCTGCCGGCAATTTCTTCTTCAGTGGAAAATACAAGACAGAATGGAAGTAATGACTCTGACAGATACAGTGACAATGAAGAAGGTAACATTTTATATGATGTTAATAAAGTATATAATCAAAAAAATCAAATTTTTTTCAGACTCATAAGATACAGTAACCATGAAGAAGATAAAATTTTAAATAATATTACCAAGATATATGTAAATTTTGTTCATATTAGAGTAGTCCTCCAAGTAATTTGATTTAAATACCTTTTCTTGAGAATTCTAAGAAACAGAAAAGTAGAAATGTCTAATTTTTTGTCACATAAAATCACTTTATCTTTTTTGCTGCAAATTTCATCTTCCTAAGAGAAAAAAGTATTACAAGTAGAGACAAAGTTTCCCCAGTTATCCCTTTCTAAGTATCATCTCCAGAGAAGCAACCACTATCATTAATTTGATGATTATCTTTCCAGCCTGATTTTAAATACTTTTTCATATGCATCTGCCTAATACATGGTATTACCTTGTACTTGAAAAAAAATTTGTGTAAGTGATATGCTAAATCTTATCACTTGCTTTTCTTTACTCTGTTATATTAACATCTCTTACTGATTTATTATATGTGTCTGATTTATTTCTCGTAATTGATATGTAGTAGTAGTATTTACATATGGCATGTTTTCTCTGTTCTCATATTGATAAGCATTTAAATTTATAGTTTTTGCTAGAAGATCTGATTTCAAGAAAACTTTATAGTAAATATTTTGATATGTTTTTAGTAGACTATTTTAAGAAAATTTGGCCATGGTATATAAATATTTTTCGAGTAGTACGTGAAATAAACGACCTTTTAAATTTTATTTTAAGAACTTGACACTTATAAATTTTTAATTCATATGACTTGTTTGTTAATTTCATGACTATTTAATGACTCAAATTGTTTATATCTCCATAAGCATTGCGTGCCAGGGCACAGTCTGTCAAATTGGTTGTTCAGAATGTTCCTTCAACAGCACTATGTTATTAGCAAAGAGGCAAAGAATAGAATCAGCTTAAACACAAGTAATGCTTAAACTTCCTGCCTCTTTTGCCTCTACAGGAAAGAAGAAAGAACTCAAGAAAGTGAAGTCCACTAGGGATTTTTTTCCTTTTTCTGAACTTCCAACTACTCCCTCTGGTGGATTTTTTCAGGGTATTTCTTTTCCTGAAATCTCCACCCGTCCTCCTTTGGGCAGGACTGAACAACAGGCAGCTAAGAAAGTACATTCTTCTAAGGGAGACCCACCTAGGGAACCTCTTATTGCCACAGCCTTGCCTGGCAGGGAACAGATGCAGAAGTTAGCTTCTGGAGGGAATTTGTTTGTTTCCTCCAAGTCTAGCCATGATAGATGTTTAGAGAAAAGTTCTTCGACATCTCCTCAGCATGAACTCGCTGCCATGTTGGTCTCTGCTGCAGCTTCTCCTTCACTGATTAAAGAAACCACCAGTACTTGCTATAAAGACATAGTAGAAAATTTTTACTGTGGAGAGAAAAGTGGAATTCAACCATTATGTACTGAGAGGTCCCATGTTTCAGATCAGTCAGTTCTCTACAGTGAAAGGAGAGCACTAGAAGAGTCTGAGAGAGCACAAGTAATTTCTCCACCACTGGCTAAGGCAATCAGAGATTACGTCAGTTCTCTGTTGGTCCAGGGTGGGGTAGGTAGTTTGCCTGGGACTTCTAGCTCTACACCCCCACTGGATGTAGAAAATATATGGAAGAGAATTGATGCACCTAATTTTCGAGAAACAGAATCCCTGTCTCCTCCACGAAAATTACCTAGACTCAGTGAAAAGTCAGTAGAAGAAAAGGATTCAGGTTCCTCTGTGGCATTTCAAAATATACCTGGATCTGAACTGATGTCTTCTTCTGCAAAAACCGTTGTCTCTCACTCACTGACTACCTTAGGCATAGAAATGTCTAAGCAATCACAGCCTGATAAAATAGATGCCCCCAAACTATCTTTTCCCTTCCATGAATCTATTTTAAAAGTAATTGAAGAGGAGTGGCAGCAAATCGGCAGGCAGCTGCCTTCATTGGCATGCAAGTATCCAGTTTCTTCCAGAGAGGCAACACGGATATTATCAGTTCCAAAAGTAGATGATGAAATCCTAGGGTTTATTTCTGAAGCCACTCCACCAGCAGGTATTCAGGCAGCTTCCCCTGAGTCCTGTGATAAACAGTTGGACTTAGCACTTTGTGGAACGTATGAAGCTGCAGCATCAGCATTGCAGATTGCAACCCATACTGCCTTTGTAGTTCGGGCTATGCAGGCAGACGTTAGTCAGGCTGCACAAATTCTTAGCTCAGATCCTAGTCACGTGCACCAGGCACTTGGGATGCTAAGCAAAACATATGATGCGGCCTCATTTCTTTGTGAAGCTGCCTTTGATGAAATAAAAATGGCTGCTTATACCATGGGATCTTCCACTTTAGGTCGCCGGTATCTCTGGCTAAAAGATTGCAGAATTAATCCAGCTTCTAAGAATAAGCTGGCTGTTACTCCCTTTAAAGGCGGAACATTATTTGGAAGAGAAGTATTCAAAGTAATTAAAAAGAGTGGAAAAAAACGCTAATAAAATTAAGAATAAAGACATCTATCTTATCTTTGATATGAGGAACTTGGCAGCTTTTCTAGGAATTTAAGTACTTTTATGCCAGAATTTTCTAAGGTCTTTTTAGTCTCCAGAATAGGCTAATTTCAAAGTGTCAAACTTCTACCAATTAAAATATTGCAATATAAAAGTAATTGCCTACGTATATCTGCCCTTTTTTTGGTTGCACAGAAAGAAAGCCTGATACTAACAGTTTAAAGCTTTTCTAGATAGCATTTTTTTCTCAAATAGTTCAGTCTTTCCTATTTTAAGATTTTACAACTCTTCAAAACTAAGAAAATTCCATTAACTAGATTATAAGTTGAGTCTCCGTGGTTTTAAATATTACTAAATATTTTATTACTTTCCAGAACTTGTCTACATATTTTCTCTTATTTTCTCACTTGTTTTTTACTGATATCTACAGTATCGTTTGTAATAGTCCAAATCAGTGCAACTCAAAGTGCCAGTCTACAAACTGTTACTGATCCACAGATAAGATAAGCGTGTACCAGAATTTGAATCTAGATGAATGACAGGTTTTATTTTTGTGGTAAAACTTTATTGGTAGAGGAAAGACAGTGCGCTGATTTACATTCTGGCGCAAATGCCTCGTTTTTTCATGGACTGGTAGCAAGCAGTTGGTGGACTACACTTTGAGACATACTGCTCTAGACCATAGTATTCTGGGATAGTGCATTCTCACCATCACTGTAAAACTATAGTCAGATGAATTAGGAAAGATGGGACTTTTTTTTTTTTTATAAGTAAGGTACTTATAAAGTACCTTATAAAGTACACTTTTAAGGTACGTTGTAATTCATGTATGATTGATTAGGCTTAATCTAAGCTAAATTCTAAAAGCAAATTTATTTTTTTTTAAGTCATAAGAAATCATCCTATATCCCATTTTCTGTGTGTCTGTATAAAGCAATATATTCTCTGTTTTCATTTCTGTGATTGTAAGATGAGAGAGTCTAACTGTAGAGGCACTTGATAATCGAATTTCGTTGTATTTTTATGGAAAATAGTAGTATTAATTATAAACAAAATATAGTCCCTTGGGACTTACAGCCATTACTATATTCTTAGACTAACCTATCCATCTTTGCAGCTTTCTGGGAGTAATTCTATTTGTTATTTGTCTTCTGAAATGTACATGTATACATGTACCTACTGAGTACTATGTGATTTTTTTTTATGTATTACTGTAGAATGCTTTTGCAAATTCAATAAAGTTGTTAAATTTGAACAGTTTTGTGTGGTCTCCACAAACATGTTGTATGTGTGTTTTATTCTTAGAGTTGCAAGAAGTTAGATATTTGTGGATGAACAACATCCCTTTTCCATTTCATCACTGAAACTCACTTGACATTCCAATGGTATAGCTGAACATATTCAAATTATTATTAAATGTTTGGGGGTTTTTTTCCCCTATTTGAGGACAGTGGTTTTGGGGTGTCTTTTTTTTTCTAATTGAAGTATAGTTGATGAGGACCATGTTTTTATTGGCTATTGGAATTTAAGTTTGTAAGAGGAATTATTCTGTAACCAGATATCTTATTTGTTTAATCAATTTCTGCTCAACTACTATTGGGTTCTTTACTTTTTGCTTTCTGATTCTTAGGTTCTGAGTTAACCGTAAGACTTTATAATGCTAAAGATTGTCCCATAGATAATAGAGCCATTAATAGAATTACTGGGAAGTGGGGGATGGAGTTGATACCTTAATCCTAAATAAAGATGGAACTATTTGAACTAACATGGTAAAAAAATCTGTTTATTTTTGGGAAACTTGCAAGTAGACTGGACTGACTGGTAGTAGGCTAGATATTTAGCAAGACACATAACTATCTTGACTACTTTTTAGCACAACTTCATTGAATTCATGCAAAACTAAGCTTTTGTTTAAGAGTTGACTCCATTTCTGTCTCATAAGAAAGTAACTTTTTGGTAATAGAAGTTTTAGAAGTGACAACTGACATTAATTTTGCTATACTATGATAAATGGCCACAAAAACGTAGAAGCTAACTAAAATTTTTATCAAGTCTCTTGAAAAGTCTGGCCCTTCAAATGGTGATAAAATCAAAACTAGAAGAATGGGATATTGAAGCCTATGAAAAAAGATATACGTATTTGAGTTGTTATGGTAATAACCGTCATGGTGATTTGCTAATATACATGCACTAGCTTCTCTTCCAAGAAATGGTACTTTATTATGGGGGAGGCTGAGGAGAAGTGACCTGTGGTTGGTTGTACTTTTCTGTGAACAAGTTTCTTCCATACCTCTTCAATTGTACCCAGGGTTTTTATAGTTAATCAAAAAAGGACAGACTTTTAAAATGCACTTATGTATAAACGTCATTGTACTTATTCTTATTAGTGTCTTGATACCATACAAGTTTTTTTCAGTCTTAAAATTCTCTATAGCTTTTTCCCTTCCATATTCTAAATTTTAATTTAATAACCGTTTATGTAGTAAAAATGCACTGTGTGGACAAAAGAATGGTAACAGCTATGTATTCTAATGTACTTTTCCCACTTCCTAATTGTTTTCAGTGAAAAGCCTCCATGGGTTTTTACTTTGTTTCAGGCTATTAGTCCCAGAAAAAAGAAAGAATAAACAGGGAGAAGTGGTGATCATATTAAGGAGTGGGGGAGATAAACAAAAATGGAATGAAATAAAAATGGAAAAGAAAAGTTTTTAAAGACAGAAATTGCAGTTAAGAAGTTTGGGTTTGCTGAGGTAGTACTAACATACAGACTTATTTTATGTATCAGTGTGCTGAAAAACCAGGGTTCCACAGTAATGTTCGGATGACATTGTAGTTTATTGTGTGTCTCAGAGAGTAATGATTTCTCTGATGTTATTTCCAGACTCTAAAATAGAGCTCAAGCTTGAGAAGAGAGAACCACTAAAGAGCAGAGCAAAGACTCCGGTAACACTCAAGCAAAGAAGAGTTGAGCACAATCAGGTATCTTTAGCTTTATGGTCGCTGTATTCAAGTATAAGTAATCTGACAACACTGATTTGCCTGTGTCCCTGCCTTTAGTTCATAGTTGACACCCAAAATCCAGCACACTCGATAAAGCATTCATTAAATGGCACTAGAAATCTAAACTTTGTGTGTTTTGTCAGTAGTGTAGCCTGTGTTTACTGCAAAAGCACGTGTTTAATAAATGTCTCATTTGTGTTTGATTCTGTGCTAAGCATGGTTCAGAGCCAGTCATACTGCTTTGTAAGAGACATATTTTAAAAGGTGGAAATACCTAAACAATTCTGATATAATAAAAAACAGGGGAATGGTTTTATATTTGTGTCTTTGTCTCTAGATTTTTGACTTTGCTTTTATTTTTGCCTGTCTTATAATAATTCTGTGACTTTTCCCTCAACTCTGAAGCTAGTCTGATCCTAAGACCACACTTGTGTTCTTTCCTTATTCTAGACAAAAATTCACCTTTTTATGGGTGAGGCAAGATGCAGTTTTCCAAAAGGAAAATGTAGGAAACTAAGGGGAAAATAAGCACAGGAATAATGAACTCAGTTTACAGCGAACCAAATTATTGACTAATCAAGCATTGATTTGGCTGACGCTTTACAAGTCAGCTATCCCTAGAGTCATTTTCCTTACCCTTTTTCTGTCCAGCTGGAAGATTTGTCTAGTTGGCTATTTATCTTTTCCATTTTCTCTTTGTCATTTTAAAGTCGCATATCATCAGTGGAAGTATTCTTGATTTCTTAAGCCATGTGTCTTTCTTAGTTTGATGTAGTTAAGTTGAATTTCAGAACTATTTGTTAGAAATGAGCTTGGTGACTGTATGGAGAATGTATAGAGCTTTGAATGAAAGAAGATTTGGTTTAATATTGAACCAAAGACTGGAATAAATATTTTGTTGTCTTTTTATCTGTTGTTGCCAGGGAAGAGCTGCAGGGGCACACCGAAGAATAAGGAAATAACAGAGCAAGAGAAACTAGGAAAATCTGGTGAAGGACACTGAAATGGACAGACATGGAGAATTTTGGTCCAGTTTATGTAGGCAAGATGGTATAGTGCTAGCAAGAATGCATTGACTTGTCAGATAAGAGGTTAAAAGGAGGGTGGGAAGATGGTTTTAAATATGGTTTAAGGTATAATTGTTTGACCTGAGGAATCTAAACTGAGGGACAGGATAAATAGTCAAAGGAGAGAGTAGATTTAGGAGATGAGAGGCAGGATTAGACAATGGCCTTATTATACAAAATTTTTTTTTTTTAAATTTTGGCTGCACTGGCTCTTCTTTGCCGCATGAGGGCTTCTTCTCTAGTTGTGGCGCATGGCATTTGGGATCTTAGTTCCCTGACCAGGGATTGAACCTATGTCCCCTGCGTTGGAAGGCAGGTTTTTTTTTTTTTTTTTTTTAATAATTTTTTTTTTTTTTGGTTTTTTTGGGTTTGAAAAATTTTTTTTTGGTCTTCTTTGCTGCCCACGGGCTTTCTCTAGTTTCAGCAAGCGGGGGCTACTCTTCATTGCAGTGCACGGGCTTCTCATCGTGGTGGCTTCTCCTGTTGCGGAGCATGGGCTCTGGGCATACGGGCTTCAGTAGTTGTGGCTCATGGGCTCTAGAGCGCAGGCTCAGTAGTTGTGGCGCACGGGCTTAGTTGCTTCACGGCATATGGGATCTTCCCAGACTAGGGCTCAAACCTGTGGCCCCTGCGTTCAGGCGGATCCTTAACCACTGGACCACCAAGGAAGTCCCACAAAATTTAAATCATATGGCAGAGTAAAGGGAAGAGTTTACTGACCATTCAGTCACAGAACCTCAACAGATGTCAACATTCTACCAGTTTTATTTTATCTTCACCTGCACCCTGTGGCGTTTTTAATTCCTTTGGTTTTGTTGTTTGTTGCTGAAGTATATTAAAACAAATCTCTGCCATCATCTCATTTCACACATTAAAATTTCAGTATATATCTCTAAAAGATTGGAGCTGTTTTTTGTTTTTTGGGTGTTTTTTTTTGTTTGTTTTGTTTTTTGGTTTTTTTGCACAGGCTCTGGACGCACAGACTCAGCGGCCATGACTTACGGGCCCAGCCGCTCTGCAGCATGTGGGATCCTCCCGGACCAGGGCATGAACCCGTGTCCCCTGCATAGGCAGGCGGACTCCCACCCACCGCACCACCAGGGAAGCCCTGGAGCTGTTTTTTACTTATATATATTAGATATATATGTTAGATATGAAAGAATTATTAATTTTATTTGGAGTGATAGTGCCATTGTGTGTGTGTATAAAATCTTTCATATCTGTGTTCAAAGCTTTATACATTCTCCATACAATAACCTGCAGTTTCAGAAATGTCTCTTTTATGATTGAATTATTCAAATCAGTTTCCATACAAACTCCACATATCATTTGGTGTTTTTGATTTTGTTTTGTCTTTTTTATTAATAAATTTATTTAATTTTAGCTACATTGAGTCTTCATTGCTGCGTGTGGGCTTTCTCTAGTTGCGGTGAGCAGGGGCTACTCTTCGTTGCAGTGCACAGGCTTCTCATCGCGGTGGCTTCTCTTGTTGTGGAGCATGGGCTCTAGACACACGGGCTTCAGTAGTTGTGGCACGCAGGCCCTAGAGCGCACGGGCTTCAGTAGTTGTGGCCCTTGGACTCAGTAGTTGTGGCTCACGGGCTTAGTTGCTCTGCAGCATGTGGGATCTTCCCGGACTAGGGCTCGAACCTGTGTCCCCTGCATTGGCAGGCGGATTCTTAACCACTGTGCCACCTGGGAAGCCCTTGTTTTGTCTTTTAAGTTGGTAGCTATTTCCACTAAAACGGTTTTCCATCCCTCCATTTATTTGGTGAAGAAACCAGGTTAGTTCTCTATAATATTTCTCACATTGTGGATTTGGCAGATTGCTTCTTCAAGGGTCGTTTAATTTGCTCTTTCATACCCTGGATTTCCTGTAGACTGGAAGTTAGAACTGTAGTGGGGCTGTGCAATAGACCTTTCTGTGATGATGAAATTGTTGTATATCTGCTGTTCATTAAGTAGCCACTTAATACTTGGAATGTGACTTGTATGGCTGAGAAACTAAAATTTTGATTTTATGTTATTTAAATTTAAATAACTACACGTGGCTAGTAGCTATCATTTTGTACAGCACAGATCTAAGGGGTTGGTTAGATTTGAGTTCAGTTACTTTGACAAGAATACTTCACAAATGGCATTGTGGCCTTCACATTGCATCATTTCAGAGACACATGATGTCCTTTTGATGATGCTAAGATTAATTAGTAATAGGTTCAGGCGTTGAAAGCCTGATTCATCCGTTATGAAGTTCCACGTCGCCCTTTCACTTAATGGTTATGACAGCCGTTATGGTTATTTCCTAGATCCATTATTTCATTACTTCAAATGAAATAATGGATCTAGGAATTCTCTGGTTCCTTTACATCTATAACTGGAATTCTTTTATAAAGAACTTTCCCTTGTGAATTTCCTAGTTACCTTGAAATAAAATTCATATAAGAGAGCCAGGATAAACACTTACATGCCTTTTATTTGCCAGTTATCAAGTTAAACTGCTCTAGTCATTTTGAAACGCGATCAATAATATCTTTTTACTACTGTGGTTTTTATATATTTGATATATGATCAATTGCAGTCATTATTCTTTTTTCACATTCAAGTTGTACCATCTTTAGCCACTGGGAATTACTGAGTTGATTCCTGTATCCTTTTAGTGACCCCATTTGTCTTCGATACTTTCTTGTTTGCTGGCACAATAAGAAGTCCTGGGCTGTATATTTCCTGCCTCTTATCAAGTCAGTCATATTTCTAAAGAACCCCTTATCCTTTTAATAGAAAGTATTATTTGGAAGCTACCTACACCCTGGATGGTAGGGCGTTCATTCCTACTGGGTTGTCATTGTTGTAGCCTTTTTCAGTAGGTAAAGCTAGGAGTACTTACTTTTTAGAAAGAGAAGATAGGTCATGAATTCCTCAAATTTATGAATGCAGGCTAATTTCTAGGTGTTACACTTGTATCTCTTTTCTCTTATGCTGAGTATCTTGGTTCTTAAAATAATATTGTTATGTAATTTTCACTATATATATGTTTCTAAATAACAGTATTACTACTGATAGTAAAGCTGCTAATTGTATTTGCAGATGGGGGGGCAGTTTTTCTTATGTTAAGGGTATAAAATCAAAATACTGTGCTTAAAGTCACTTTTTTTCTTTCATATTTATTTTTTAATTTTTGAGAATATATATGTGGTTTTATTTGGGCAAAAGAAGAGTCAGAAATCTGTCTTCTATCTTTGTTCCTTCCATCCATAGGTTACTATTTTTATTAAGTTTCATTTTATATTTTGTTTCTTTTTGAAAATATAAGTAAATAATAGATTTATATATTTATTTATGCTCCCCTCCATATATGAAAGACAGCCTACATTGCACATTTCTATTTTTCTGTTTTTAATCTAAACACTTATCCTGAGATCATGTCAAGATATAGTATAGCCTTCTTCCTCATTGCTTCCTCATTGCTTTATACCACTGCATGGTATTGCATTTTATGGATTTACTGTAATTTATTCAGCCACTTTCCTTTTGATGGATATTTTGATTTTTTGTTATTGATTATTCACTTATGTGCTATTCTGAATAATGCAAAGGTACACCAGTGAACAGCCTTTTTACATGTGTTGTTTCATGTTTGAGCCAGTTTATCTTCAGGAAATCTAGAAGTGGAATTGCTGGGTAGTTTTGCTAGATGTTAGCAAATTCCCCTGTGTAAGAGTTGAAGCATTTTGCATTCCCACAAGTAATGTATGGGAGTACCTTTCTCTAATGGAGGAATATGATACTGTTTTTTTAAAAAATAAAAGTTAATATGAGTAACCATATTGGTCATGTTTTACCTAAATTAATAGTTCTTTAAAGTAAGGTGGCTTTTAATTATCTTGATTATTTTTTTATAACCTAGTTAAAGCTTGTATTTTTACTGAATGAGATTTATAGCCTCCTTTAATAACCCAGCTCCTGCATTCTCATGTGCCTCAACTGCCTGTCTTCTGAATAACTTTTTACCTGATAGGGTTTTTTTGTTTCTTCCTCCTGTTGTCTCCATGATAAATTGAGGACTTTCTGTAGAACATCTTGCTGAAAATAGATGACACTACAGTCCTTGTTTTGGCCACAGAGCATATAGCAGTCGCATTACTAATTTTATGTAGCAATGAGTTTTTCTTTTCAGTCAATAATTGCTTGGTCCATCTTATTCTAAGTAGTTACAACACTGAATTGTAATTTTGTTTTTTATTTATATTTTCTTCTCAAAGTCACTTGTTGCATAGTGGATTCTGGTAGAAAAAATTTTTTTCAGTCTTCAAGGTATCTTTTCTGGTTGTATGAAAGATAGTTTTCTGTGAAGATGATTAATTCTAAATTAGATGATAGGCAAGAACTAATAAAATTGGTTGACAGTCCTCAACCAAAGAATTTAATAAACCTGAGCAAAAGAAAGCATAAATGATTTATAGTGAAAAGTGTCCATCCTACCCCTGTTCCCAGCTATTTCCACAGGCAACCAGTGAATTTCTTGTTTTCTCTTCCATGGGAGAAAATTTAAAAATCTCTAAATGGAACTTGGCCTTTAATTTCAAAGATAACTAATAAAAATGTAAACTTTTTTTTTATTAAGTATAATAGTTTCAATAGATGTTTGGTAAAATTTTTGATGAAGAGATTATTTCAGTTATTTATTCAGAATAAAACATAACAAATGGAAAGTCCTGGAATTTGGTAGATAACCAATTTTAAGGGAAAAGTATGTCTCTTCTCCCCCCCTCTTTACCTTCATGGACATAGGTAAAATATCTAGGCTTTATATTGTATTAGTTGCATAACTGATAACTTTATCAGCCCTTTAAAATAATGTTCTTTTTAATTCTTTGAGGAGTTTTTAAATACTGAGTATACATTGATAATACCAGGTAGACTATCAAACTAGAATATTTTTAAAATACTCTCATTATTTTTATTGGCATTGAGCAATAGCTTATTAAAGAGGAAGCAGTGTTGGAAGTAGTTTGAAAAAAATACTTGGCTTTGAGATGCATCATAAGTCAGTTACGTTATTCTCAACCCTGGCTGCTCATTAGAATCCCTTCAGGAGCTACAAAATTTAATTAAGCCCAGGCCGGTCTAGAAGAGATTCTGACTTAATTGGTCTAAGGTGGAGTTGGGGCACTTGGTATTTTTTAAAAGCTTCCCAGATGATACTGTGCCACCGGGATTGAGAATTTAAGATTAAAACTAGTGTTCCCTTCTACTCAAATAATCAGGAATTTAACTATTAATAAGCATCTATTATATGTGTGTGTAATTTGTTTATAAATTTGTCTTTTGACTAACAATGTTTGCATTCAGCAAATTTTTCCTAATTGATAGCTGGAAAAGCAACCCGGAGATTCAGATTGTGAGTCAAAGGGGAAACTCTTATAAAGTCAGTTCCAAATATAGAGAAATACAAAACCAGATGTATGAAACTATGTCTGTATCTTGTGGTGTTTTGGTAGTAATGCTTCGAGCCAAATAAGTGTACTTATTGGATGACTGCTCTTGTCCCGAGATAAGAGTAAAATATATCTGTCTTTAAAATTAATAGACACTAACTTAGCTATAAAAACAGCAGTTATCTACATAAAATATTAGCTTGAAAGCAAAAGTGACAGTATAAGCATATTCTAGTATAACTAATCATTGATGGATGTCCTCTAGTTAAAAGAATTTAAAAGAATCATCTGGTAATAAAAGTTTCAAAAGTTGAATAACTTGATCCTTGGAATGTAGAATCTCAGGCCTCACCCTGGAGCTACTGAATCAGAATATGCATTTTAACAAAAGCTTCAGGTAGAAGCACTAGTCTAGTGCTTTTCAAACAGTTATGTGAGGACTGCTAAATTATTTTTTAAATGAGGAAAATCAATCGACTTTTCCAAGGAGAAATAAATCTGGGACTGGAAATGGACAGTGGTCTATTCCTATTACCATTTTTTCTTTTTTTTTTCCGTAGTGAGGAGTGAGTGGCACTGAGTCCTGGCAGTGACATTTTAGGCTAGCCAGTTCACAAAAAAAGATGACCATCAAGTTTTTGTTGCTGCTCAATTTTATTACCTGTTTCCAAGATGAGTTTGACACCTGGGAACTTTTAAGTCAGATAGCTGTGTATAGATTATTGAAACTGATTCTATTTAAATAGTCCTAACCGCACGACAAGAATAATGTTTAGTCTGTGCTAACAATTACAAAATTTGTATTTTGTTTTAAAAGGAAACTGACTTGTTATATATAACAAATGACTATCTTACAAGTCATGATCAGCCTGCTTTTTTGTTTAGACAGCTAGAGATGCAGCTGTGATACTGGAGCCAGATAGTAAACAGCAAGTCACAAAAGGAGCCAGTGATAAATTGATGTCTTTTTTCTCCTCTCACTTTTATCATCATAATATGTGAGAGCTCCTATAGTTGGACTCTAATGTATTTTACCATATTTTAAGTGTTTTCTTATGCCTACATATCCAGCCAATACATTTGAAATATTTTGAGGGCATAGCATTATTTTCAAATGCTGGCATTTGGAAACTTTTCATGGATTCTCAGTATGCTAATATGGCCATCATTATTAAGGTGTTTGATATTAGAATATGACTTTTTAATGTGTTGATGCTTGAATAGAGCTATTCTCAAGCTGGAGTAACTGAGACTGAATGGACAAGTGGATCTTCAAAAGGCGGACCTCTGCAGGCATTAACTAGGGAATCTACGAGAGGGTCAAGAAGAACTCCGAGGAAAAGGGTGATGCAAGGCTTATTGCTTAGAATGGGGTTCTCAGATTGGTAGGGTTTTAGTGGTTATTTTATATTTATTGTTTTTGTTTTGTTTTCAAACTAACAGGTGGAAACTTCAGAACATTTTCGTATAGATGGTGCAATAATTTCAGAGAGTACTCCCATAGCTGAAACTATAATGGCTTCAAGCAACGAAACTTTAGTAAATATGTTTCATAAACTATACAAGTGGTATTCTTTGTAAATTATCCTTTACTTAGAATTGGGGAGGTGGCGAATTTTGGCAAACCTCAAACACATGTTTTTAAACATTTTAAACTCATTTTCCCAATATAATTCTGAATTTTAGAAGTTTTCAGTGTAGCCACTTTAATATATATATAATTCATTGTGCAAGAATACTTAGTGTTATAAGGATACTTTTTTGCTAACATGTTTAAAGAATAATAAGGCTTCCTTCACATATGAAACACTAATGTATTTGTAGGTTCTTATGCCTAAATTTTTATTAAGGGAAAGTTTCAAATATTAGAGAAATCGACTATCATTTTTTCTTTTAACGTGTCTTTGTTATGTTTGGATAATTCTGAGTCTGAATAATTTGAATCTTGGCAGGTTGTCAATAGGGTGACTGGAAATTTCAAGCATGCAGCTCCTATTCTGCCAATCACTGAATTCTCAGACATACCCAGAAGAACACCAAAGAAACCATTGACAAGAGCTGAAGTAAATGAATAACATTTAGATCGATGCTATCATTGATCTTTTAATGAAGAAATATTTATATTTGTTTTTTAGAGTGGGAGGGAGCAGAGCTTTCTTTGTTGGGTGGGGGTGTGTGTGTCTATTTATGTGCATATATTAAAGACATACTTCATTAGTGACAATGGAAAGTAATATTGTATGACATGCTAATACTATCCTCTTGCTACTGCTGTGTTCCTCTTTAAGTTCCAGTTTTCAAGGGAGTGCTCATTTGTGTGCTGCTTGTAATATGTTCTCTTTGTTAAAATGGATGTGAGTTGAAAGTGTTACTTGGGCTGTGGGGGAAGCTATACTACCTTTCATTGAAAGGTCAGATAATGGGACTTTAAAGTGACTTTGTATTATACTTGAATTGATTAACTCCTGTAAAATTAAGCTTTAAAGTACTAACTGCATGGATACATTATAATTTTAATAATTCTTTATCAAAGATTATTTTGATCTGGGCATAAAGGTAATTTAGCAAAGCATTCAGGTTGTTTAAAAAATTATTTTATGTTTCTTAAGTTAGGAAGATTGGATTGACTCTCTAGTTAAAAGCATATACTAAAATTTGTTAAAAGATCCATCTTAGTTTCATATCTTCTACATTTGATCATTTATTTTATTACAAAATTAAGAAGAAGAAACAATGTACTTTTAATGTCAATGAAAAGCATTGGAGGGAACTTAACACTGCCATATTAGCTGTACTGAAATTTTATTTTTTGTTTTTTGTTTTTAACTTACTTGAATGTGTGCCCCCCATTACAACATTAACATATCTTCAGGAAATTTGAAGAGAGCCATGGAAATGTATGGATAATTAAGCAATAATGAATTCAGAAATGGCAGTTGTAAAAGTTGGATAGATTTAAGTGCATTCTGTTCTCCAAAGCGTCTGTTTAAAATTATGTTCTAATTATTGCATATTTACACTAAATTTTAACTTCTGGTTGTTTTTTTGTTTGTTTGTTTCTTATTAGGTGGGAGAAAAAACAGAGGAAAGAAGAGTAGAAAGGGATATTCTTAAGGAAATGTTTCCCTTTGAAGCAGCTACACCAACAGGAATTAGGTATTCAGATACACTGAAACAATTATTTAGTGTATTCAATTAAGGCATTTTTATTTATTTATTTGTTCCCACCTTTACTGAGGTATATTGACACATTAAACTATATATTTAGGGTGTACAACATAATTATTTTATATATACATACATAAATGAATTCTAATTTTAAATTCTTCACAAAATTACTATACCTCTGCTCTCATAAGTAAACTTTTTTTTGGGAGCACTTTAATTCTTCTAAGCACTAACTAGTTCATATTCTTGAAAGTTGAGTCAGTTTCAAAATTAACTTTGTTAAGCTGAAAGGTTGTAAATAAATCATTTACCTACTATTTAATTCTTATTTTTAAATCTAAACTGAAACCTGGTAAGAAGGAAATCGGTTTTATTCCTGAGAGTCTCTCTTTTCTAATTGAAAAGACTGCTTTTAGATATCTGTTGAATTGTTTCCTGACTGGAAGAATCATAACCAAACTACCTTATTTTTTTTCATCATCCCCTAAATATATTAGCTTGAAAAACCTTTGAGAAGGCAAATTTAGTGAATATTTATAATCTCTGAATATTATTTTCTAATAAAAGATACAAATCTAACTCTTGAAATGAAAAATGTATAGAAGTTTTTAAATAGGTTGACTGATCTCACTGTTTATATGACAATTTTCTACTGTTACCTCAAGGAATGTGTATGGAATTAGGAGTAATAATGTCATTTTATGTTATTTAAGTTATGACTTTATCTAATAGTTGTTTTTCTCTTCCTCCTTTCACCCCCAACAGTGCTAGTTGCCGCAGACCAATCAAAGGGGCTGCTGGCCGGCCATTAGAACTCAGTGATTTCAGGATGGAGGAATCTTTTTCGTCTAAATATATTCCTAAGTATGTTCCCTTGGCAGATGTCAAGTCAGAAAAGACAAAAAAGGGACGCTCCATTCCCATGTGGATAAAAATTTTGCTCTTCGTTGTCGTAGCCTTTTTTTTGTTTTTGGTCTATCAAGCTATGGAAACCAACCAAGGAAATCCATTCTATAAGTTTCTTTCTAATGACTCTAAAAAAGTCAACTGAATGATATCTCTTTGGCACATTCAGCTTGGTCTCCTAGTTTTAATAACTGTATTAAAAAAATTTGTGTACACTTGACTCAAGAACAAAAAAAATGTGATTTCACCTCAGTAAATATAGTATTCCATTGAAAAGCAAGCAAGATATATATAAATGGACTTCATTCAATGTTTTGGACTTCGGACTAGTAGGAGATCACTTTGTGCCATATGAATAATCTTTTTTAGCTCTGGAACTTTTTTGTAGGCTTTATTTTTTTAATGTGGACATCTTATTTCTTTTTTGAGAAAAAATGTATATTGTTTTTGTGTATTTGGGAAACAAGAAGGGCAAAACATGGTAGTATAATGTGAAGCTACACATTTAAATACTTTGAATTCTTACAGAAAAGATTTTAAGAATTATTCTCTGCTGAATAAAAACTAGAGACATGTGAAACGTGAAATTCGGTAAGAGAAAAAGTAACTTGAGATTGTAGTTTTGGTGACTGCAACAAAGTTTGATGGTGTTTATGGGGAAAAGTACAGTGATAATCTCTTCTGTAACTTTTATTAATAGTAATAATGTTATTGTTGTAGCCCTATTGTACTCACTTTTTAAAAGATATCTAGTATTGTGAATGTCCTACTTCGGTAAGACCCATTTAAATGCAGTTGATTTTTAGCAGGGATCTATCAGTGCAACTTACACATGTTTTAGAGAACTGTTAGCTGGCTGTACATGTTTTTAAAGACTGTTTAGCTAGCTATAAGACTATAATTGGAAACTTGTACTTTTTATTTACAGCAAAACATTTATTCTATCAATCTGTTACCAAAATATTTTTTAGATAAATAGGTGTGTGTGTGTGTGTTCAGAAGTTAGAAATTTTAAACACCAGTCTTAGGTTCCATTTGGATTCATTATTGAATTATCTTCTGTTACCAAAAATGCATTTTGCCAAGGGTTTTTTTGCCCTGTATTTCCCAACATAATTTGATTTGCAAGTATGTGCTTTTAAAAGCAAAAAGTATGTGCTTTTAAACTACATAGTAAACTTTCCTTGGATATACAATAGTTAATACATAAATTTTTAAACTCTGAAATTGAGGCGGGCATTATGATTTTTGTTTACTTTTGAAATGTTTATCTTTGTGGTTGATTTTGTTTTTAGCTAAAACTTACCTCATGTATAACTTTGTTCGGTAAAGTAGTAGGTAATTGAAATTTCAGTAGAATCAAGTAAAACAAAAATTTTGATTTAATCATGTGAGTTTCAACTTTACAGTCATTGACAATAAAGCACATTAAAAAATGTAAGTTTTTTTAAAATATCTTCTGAAATAAAAAAGATACTTTTTAAAAAGGAAAAGCTGAAGATGTATATTTAGACCAACACACAAGTTTGATTTGCATCAGCCATAGTCTGATATTTGGCTTTTAGATATTTTGTAGACATTTTTCACTTTGCAGTTGACCAGAAATATTCGTAGGTCTCGTCTCTGCAAAGGCAGTGGGAAACTTACTTCTAGATCAGAAATGCTTGCCTCTCCAAGTAAAAGTGTTTTGAGATGAGCCACAGAGGGAACACATTTTATTCAGCGTTGCCTCTATACAGTAATAGCAGTCTACTTTTACTTTTTCTGTTTTTAAACTTTGATTCCCATATTGCTTTCAATCTTTTGTTTATAATTAGAAATTGTGAGAAACTGCATTTAATGTTCAGAAATGTGGGAAGATAAATCAGACTTAATATGTATGTGAGATCAGTTTTCTAATAGGAAAGGTATGGTCCAAAATAGCAAAGTAGGACCAGGTAAAATGTGTAGTCTTTTTTTTATTTTTTAAATGTGTACTTGGTCTTTTGTCTGTGTCTGTTTTCTTCCACTAGAATAAATGTGTCCTTGATGTAAATGCAAAGCATTTCTTCCTGATTAAAATTGTAGATGTAGACTTTACAATTTAATTCAATAATAAAAAAGTAATTAACCTCCGGTTTTGTCATTGCAATAAATACTTTTCAAATAGCACAAACTATAAGGTTTCCTGATAACGTTTTGTATGTGAGATTTATGGATTGTTGAATTTTAGTTCTCTTTTCAGTCTATTCCTTTATGTTTTGCTTCTAATCATTGTAGTAATCTGGTCCTCTCTTGTTTCTAGGTAAGCAGTGTATAGGCATTATACTCACAGAATGTTGTAGGGAAGTTCTCAGAGGCACCTCTCTCGTTTTCTACAGTATAGCAACTAATACTTTTCAGTCTACATTTCCTTTTTTCCATCAGTTTTCCTGTCTTCGTACTCATCTATGGCGCTCATGATTGTTAGTCTTGCTTTGAGACTAAGCAAAGATGTTGCTGCCATATATTCATCACAGAGCTGTGTTCACAAGTTGAAAATGCTTTTATCTCTCCATCATTCATGTGTCCCCCAAAGGTGATTTTATTTAAATTAGTGCTTCTCAAGGTAATATGTACACTGTAATTAATTAGAAAGCAAGTAGCATCAAAGGCTTAAACTAACAATAAAGTATGCTTTATTGCATGCTTACTGTGTGGTAGATACTGTTCTATGTACTTGATATGTATTGACTCACTTAATCCTCAAGATAGTCCTATGAAATAGGTATTTTCTTATTCTCTCATTACAAATGAGGAAATTGGTGCTTGGGGGGGGTTAAGAAACGTGCCCAAATTTGCACAGCTGAGAAATGATGAGTCTGATTGCATATGATAATGGCAGAGAGGACCTAAAAGACCGAAACTTTTTTTTTTTTTTTTTGCTGTACGCGGGCCTCTCACTGTTGTGGCCTCTCCCGTTGCGGAGCACAGGCTCCGGACGTGCAGGCTCAGCAGCCATGGCTCACGGGCACAGCCGCTCCGCGGCACGTGGGATCTTCCCATACCAGGGCATGAACCCGTGTCCCCTGCATCGGCAGGCAGACTCTCAACCACTGCGCCACCAGGGAAGCCCAAGACCGAAACTCTTAAACAGACTCTGAACCAGTTCTCCTGTTCAGCCTTGCTCCTTCCACAACTTCAGTGGTGCCTCTAAGTTCCAAACCTCTTTAAGGGATCTTCAAGGTTCACTTGTAGTTTTAATCTTTGTCTGTAGCCATTTAACTTTGAGCCTTCTTACCCTCAATTTGTTTTCTATTTATTAATCTGTTTTCCATCTCCATACAGTTTTTTGCAACATATTGTCTTCTGATGTCTCATTTCTCTTCCATTCATGTAGTCAAGTCTGTCGCTTTGAATTAGCAGTCACTGAGAGCTACTCAGAGTTCATATAGTATCTTCCCACCAAAGATTTAGGAAGAAAGCAGAGAAGGAAACATGGAATTTTTAGTGTAGGGAGACCCAAAACAGATCAATTCTGTTATGTTCTGGTATAAAGTCATTAGTTGAACTGACACTTCATGACGTTTATTGCTATTATGTTCCCAGCTCTTTGAAATTGACTGTTTGTAAAATTTTACACCCACTTGAAGAAATATTTATTCATTGCCTCCTCTGTGCCAGGTATAATTGGCAATGCTGGATGCAGTTTTTTTGTTTTTGTTTTTGTTTTTTTGCGGTACGCGGGCCTCTCACTGTTGTGGCCTTTCCCATTGCAGAGCACAGGTTCCGGATGCCCAGGCTCAGCAGCCATGGCTCACGGGCCTAGCTGCTTTGCGGCATGTGGGATCTTCCCGGACCGGGGCACGAACCCGTGTCCCCTGCATCGGCAGGCGGACTCTCAACCACTGCTCCACCAGGGAAGCCCTGGATGCAGTTTTAAGAATTATCTTTGGGTATTCTTTGGGGGAAGTTTTTGGGGTCAAAAACATTTGACTGTCCCATTAACTAATAGCAACATAGGTTTATTTAGCTGTTTAAGTATTGTATTAATGGGGGACTTCCCTAGTGGTCCAGTGGTTACGACTCCCCACTCCCAATGCAGGGGTCCTCGGTTCAATCCCTTGTCAGGGAACTAGATCCCGCATGCCACAGCAAAAATATCCCGCATGCAGCAACTAAAAATCCCACAATGCCACAATTAAAGATTCCGCACACAGCAATGAAGATCCCTCATGCTGCAACTAAGACCCAACACAGCCAAATAAATAAATAAAATATTTTAAATCTATTGTATTAATTGTTCTTTAGCTAATTAAGAGGAATTAGTAATATTTAACCCTTGTAAATCAAAGAAGCAAAAATTTGTCAGCTTGTTTGGAATAAATCAAAGCTGACTATGAAAATAAAATCCTAATCAAATGCGTTTATACTAGACCAGTACTGACTTTGTTGTCTAGAATTTAACACATTGATCTTGTGGTAGTGAATAATTTGAAATTGTGAAGCAGTGTAAAGTGTACTTGTTTTATTTGTTCCACTGACAGAAACTAGTCAGCTTCTGGTTCGATTGGGAGAAGTAAGTTATCTATAGCAATTAACCTCAAAACTTAATAGCTTAAAACAATTATTGTAGTTTTTATGTGTCAGAAATCAGGGAGCAGGACTTCCCTGGTGGCACAGTGGTTAGGAATCCACCTGCCAATGCAGGGGACACGGGTTCAATTCCTGGTCCAGGAAGATCCCACATGCCGCGGAGCAACTAAGCTCATGTGCCACAACTACTGAGCCTGCACTCTAGAGCCTGTGCTCTAGAGCCTGCAAGCCACATTACTGAGCCCACATGCCACAACTACTGAAGCCCGTGTGCCTAGAGCCTGTGCTCCACGACAAGAGAAGCCACTGCAATGAGAAGCCTGCGCACCGCAACGAAAAGTAGCACCTGCTCACCACAACTAGAGAAAGCCCGCACACAGCAATGAAGACCCAATGCAGCCAAAAATTAATTAATTAACTAATTAAGGCAGCAACTTAGCTGTGTGGTTCTAGCTCAAGACCTCATGACTTTGTAGTTAGTTGCCAGCGATATAATCTGAAGGTCCAACTGGGGCAGAATGTGCTCCCAAGCTCACAGGGTAGTTGGCGGGCCTCAGTTCCTTACAGGCTGTTGGCTGGAGACATCATAGGTCACCTGAGTGCCCTTATGACATGGCAGCTGGCTTCTCCCAGAATAATCCAAGAAAATGCACCCATGACTGGAGCCACAGCATTTATACAACCTAATCTTGGAAACGATATACCATCACTTTCGCCATATTCTATTGGTTTTACAGGTCAAATGGGGAAGGGACGACACAAGAATGAATACCCAGGAGGCAGAGGTGATTGGGACTCTTCTTGGAGTTTGGCTACCACAACTATCTTAATCTGAGGGGTTATATAGATATTTAGTTTGGACATGCTGTATAGCATTTGAAAATGTTCAGTATTGCTTTGGAATGTATACGGACATTTCTTTCGAATGTTCGCTTTGATCTGTCCATCATTCCAAAACATTATATATAAAATTAAATATGAATGAAAAGCAGTGAAACTGGAGAGGGGGGTAGATTTGAGTTATCTTGCAGAGGTAAATTTAACAGACTTGATTAATATATGGTCAGAGAGAGAGAAGTAAAAAATTACCTGGAGATTTTCTACTTGGCTGACCTAGTGGAAGGTGGTTCCAGTCACTGAAAGAATTCTGAAAGAAGACTATGGGGAAAAGAAGATAGACTTTGAATACATTCAATCTGATTTTTCTGTGAGAAATTGTAGCAACAATATTTGACCCATAGTAAGCACTCAGACACTGTGAATAAATCCAAATGGAGGTCATCTCTTGGCAATTAAGTAACTATCTGAAGCTTAGGAGAGAAACTAGAAACAGTTGGAAGTCCTTAGCAAATAGATATATTCATAATGATGGAAATATATAAGATTATACACAGATTTGGAAGTGAGAAAGAGCTAAGGATGAGAGTATCCATGTTTAAGGGATGGGTAATCAAGGAAGACCAAGAGAATGCAGTGTCATTGAAGAGGGCATTTTAAGAAGAGTGGTCAACAGTTATGCTAAGTAAAATGGGGGCATAGAATGATGTCTACTGAATTTAGTCAGGTGAC